CCATGTGTCTAGTTAACCCACTGAGTTGCATTGCGCCCTGATGCACCCTACTTTAGTATTTTACTCTGTCTAACGCCAGACGATTTTACTCGTCAGGGGGAGAGCACTGGTGCTTAATGGGTTAACCAAAGCATTCTGAGTATTTTCTCATGAGCTCACAAATCAAGTTGTTTCAAGAAATCGACACGCGCTAACAATAGAAGTTCCGCTATCGCTATTTGAAAATAAGAATATGCATGGTCAAACAGATCTTTTTAGGGTGGTGTTGGGGGTGGTAGACACCACTAAGTGGGGTGCGCACCTCCACGATAAATCCGCCCAGGGTGGTTGCAACCTGGCATGGACTACAAGTCTACAACATACCTGCTCTTGTCAATATAGATTCCTTTTTCTTTGATTCAGAATTTTGATCGTCCTTTTTTGTCTCTTCAGAGGTTTTAGTTTTCTCCTCTTTATCATCTCGCTCTCTCCTCTCCCGACCTTCATCTGTCCTCTGATGTCCCATGTTATCCTTCCTTTCATCTTTTCTATCCCTTGATCTATCCCTAGATCTCCCTCGTCTTTTCTTACGCTCGTCATTTCTACGTCTTTCTCGATTATCTGGTATATCGTCCCTGTCATCACGAGCCCTTTTCCGCTGTTCAACAAATATAAATACAGGTCAATAATCAGGGTTCAAATTAAATATTTAAAACTGAATAGCAAATTTCTACTCAGTGACTCATACAATAAAAGGTAACAAGTCTGTTGCCGTTCAACAACCGCGTAGCAACTTGCCAACAAGCTGGGAACAAGCAGTGCGAACAAATCCTAGGCTGGTACAAGCTGTTGAAATGGTACAAGTCTTTTTTCAATAATGTCGCTGGAATTTGTCTTGTGCCATTTTGGAAACTGTTATCAATGGTGTATTAAACCTATTAACTATTTTAACCAGTCTAGCTATCAGGGCAAGTCACACATGAAAATTGGTTGCCCGGAATAAAATTCACTTGCCTACGTTCGACCAATTTTCACACATTTCTAAAAATCATGAATAATGAAAAAAGCCTCTTCTATTTTTGAAATTATAAGGATGGTATTCTCCCAACGGGCAAAACGATGTTTATTCAACGTTGAATCAACGTTGGAAATCATCACCCAGACGTTGGATAGACATATTTGAAATTAAAGGATTGAAAATGCAAATTGGATTGACGTTACTCTTTTGACGTTGAAACAACGTTGAGAATAGGTTGCCAATCTCGTCAACCATAATTCAACGTTGAATCCACGTTGAAACAACATTGAGAATACTTCACAAGTTGACGTTGTATAACCAACCATAAACGAACGTTGATTTGACGTCTGTTTGCTGCGTTGAACCAACGTTTGTAAAACAAGGTTAGAGCAACGTTGATATTGGGTTGTCGCGATGTCGCAACCTTTTTTCAACCAAATTTCAACGTTGAAACAACATCATGTGCCCGGTGGGCTATGACTTTAATTCCCTCGGCCTAAGGAACATTCTAATCTTATGTTTTCTTTAACTTTGAAGTCATTTGCAGACTTGATCATGAAGTGTTGATTTTACCTAATTTACTAATGAAGAATCGAAAACAGACTGGATGCATACCATAAACAAGCAAACAATTTAGTATTTTAGTGTAGCAATTAAATTTCTGACAAAACAACTTGCCCAATCGGGCAACCAAGCAACCTCTTCTTGCGCGTAGTGATTTTTACTTGCCCCGGCTAAAGTTACATCACTCATTACATCTTATATCTACGTTCAAAATACAACAATTTCAGTACTAACCCTGGAAGAAGAGACATCTTCATCACGTTGTCTTGATAGTCGCTCTTCGTGGTCGCTTTTTACCATAAAATACACAAAATACTTGGTTCTTTATTGACGAAGAATATGAAACAAGAGCTACACTAACTTCAGAAAGAGTTTTCCTTACCTTGTAAGCATTTCGTATGGTGTATTTCGTCTTTATTAAAATGTTACAAATGGTTACAACCGTTCAAAATTTGTCAAAATGTGTTCGCCATTTTGGTTTTCGCGCGGTTCCTACAAAGCACTGGTAACGAGGTCTTGGGAGTTATTAAGGGTGATTGAGGAATATATGGGGATATGTTGCTCACAGGGGGTGAACAAGGGATAGTTGTAATCGTAGGGTGTTATAAAGGGTGAATGAAGGATATACTATAGTCGGTCGGGTCACAAATGGTGAATGAGAAATAGATGTAGGATCATATTGGTCATAGCGGTGTGAAGAAGGGATAGTTGTAATCGTAGGGTGTTACAAAATGTGAATGAGGGATAAATAGCAGTCGCTGGGTTCACAAAGTAATGACATTTCGTAGTTCCTCAAGATTGGTTTAGAAACAAATTGGTTAGGCTGCGAAATAACCTCTTCCATGTTAGTCCTGGGGGTCACAAAGGGTGAGAGAAGGATAGGTTTTGCGCATTAAAACCACTGATCTCAGAAGTAGACGGGACATTGACTGGATCACTGGTTTAGAAATAGTTTCAATTCTTCAAGACGAAAATTGATATTTTACAAGTTACAACTGATTATCTAAAAATATCTTTAATATTAAATCCCAAAATAATAAAACGGCATCTACACATACTATATATATATAACTCCATAAATGGCAAACAGTTTGTGCAGAGACACGTCTCTCGTCAAGAAAAACTACCCCATGACTATATCTATTTACAATATGGCTACCTAGGTCACCTAGTTTTATCTTTGCGCTGTTTTGTCGTGCGAGTACTGGCGTTGGTTGGATTTGAAGAGCTGTGTGCTCGCTGCGTATGACTGGGTGTTTTTTTCTTGCCTGAATTTTCACGATTGGATGATGTATTGAGCTGTGAAGACGAGCTTGATTTGCCTATCCGTGATGACGTTTGCTGAAAACATGACAACGTTCACTATTAAATTCTTGTCGGTTTGTATATGGCGATGACTTTAATATTTTTGAGCATATACTGGTATTTATATCTTTTGCAAAACTTTTTTATTGGTAAACCTTGATGGTCATAATATTTGGACAAGACAAAGGAAGTCAACACGTAAAAATCTCGCAACTTGTCAAAAAGATGTGCTCGCAACTTGCCAACAAGATGTGCTCACAACAGGCTTGTAGCAAGCTTTTCAACAAGTTGTAAAAATGATGTTATTTTATCAAGTTGCTACAAGGTTGTCACTCACAACTTGTTGACAAATTGTTGAATTGAAGAACGATGACAAGTTGTTGGAACAACTTGTAACAAGTCTGTTGAGTTCAACAACTTTATAGCAAGTTGTTAACAAGCTGGGAACAAGCAGTGCGATCACATCCTGATGACAAGTTGTTGGAACAGCATTGCTACAAGTCTGCTGCATGCAGGTTTGTTACAACTTGTGCGTTCTTACGTTGCTACGAGCTTGTTGCGAACTTGTTAACAACTTGTTACGTGCAGACGATATCAGAAGCGATGATAAAATATTCATTCTCATGAAAAGATGAATAAGATTACGAGTCAAGCTTACAACTCAGGGTGCGACAATTCGCGTACTTACGTACCAGAGGTACTTCTGTCTTTTCAGTGACGTACCAAGTAGGTACGCGGTACTCTTGTTATCTGCTTAACTTTCCAAGCCCAAGTTATTCAAAACCGTAATTTAGTTGGAATATGAGCAAGTCTAGCATGACTTGGCTTTAAACACGATTAGACTGATATGATGAGGTATGAGATAGGACTAAGGAATGTTAGAGTCGACCGTAGTGTTTGTGCATCTATAATCTACTAGAGTCAGGTTACTGAATGAATACCCTTCAGAAACATGTACATTATGTTTCATTCTAAAGACTAGATACACCTCGAGGCTTACAATGTTGACGACACAAGGTTGTAAGTGCAGTACCAGTCAGGCACAACTAAAAAAATTGAATTATCGCACCCTATACATTAAAGCCCGCCGCACACGAGAGCAACTTGCTGAGCTAACCGCCTCGCGTGGCAGCTAGCTCAGCTGTGTATTTTCACCGCACACGTGGAGAAAACTACTCAACAACAACATAAATAACAAAATCATTTGCATTTTCCTCCAATTTGTTCCAAGTCACATGAAGAAACCATGGTTTGTCATTGGCTAATTGATTCAAACAGCTCAGCACTTAGCTCACAACATCCGCAGATGCCGCTGAGATTTTTTCCTCGCGAGGCGAAAAATATCAAACACGATAGATATTTTCCTCAAGAGGTTAAATCCTCACGGAAACTATCCGCACACGAGAGCATCTTGCTGAGCTAATCGCCTCGCCAGGCGGTTAGCTCAGCAAATTGGGCCAAAAAAAAATATGTGGGTTTCCTGTTCCCCGACCCTACCTAGCTTTTGGACGTCGAAATCCCGACCCTAAACTTTTTTATTGGATCATGCTTGTAAGTGTTTCCACTTAGAGGAAAAAGTTTGTGGAAAATTGAAATTTGAGGCAATATTAGGGAAATTTATCTTTGGATGTGGAAGCACTCACTAAACAAAATGGCGTCCGCTTGTTCGGAAAATTAAAAAAAAAGTTTAAAAAAAAAAAGTTAAAACCGACCTACCCTACCTACGTTTTTATAAGAAGAAACCGGAAACCCACATATTTTTTTTTGGCCTTGCTCTCGTGTGCGGCGGGCTTAAAGCCTGGTTAACACTAGCAATTCTGTCGGCGATTTTTCTCCTCGTGGCAAATGTGATTGAATGAATGACATGCAAAAGACTTGGAATGTTCTACTTCTGAAAAGCAACTCTATACTTTTGTGTGCGAGTTCACTCATTTGCATCCATCAGAAATACAAAATCGCCGACAAAATTGCTAGTGTGAACCAGGCTTAAAAGACTGTATGTACTTACAGCAGGAGATTTTTTTCGATCTTTTGTATCTTTCTTTAAACTAGTTTTTGATGGCGATTTCTTCATCTCCTGCTGAGAAATAACATGATAAAATTCAGGTTAAAAAAGTCAATCTGAATTACGAAAGTTGCCATGCAAACTAGTACACAATTACCCTTGTAATTCTAGGCACACCGCACGAACAACTAAAATATACTGCTGCATTAGTTACTGACCGGCTATACTAACTTATTGTTGAAGATATTTTGTAGACGGAAATTTCTTGTGGAATTTTTATACATTTATTAAGGCCATTTCCACTCAAGAAAAATTTCCACGGACAGAAACTTTTCCGAAAATATCATTGTTAAAAGTTGAAAAATTTCAACTTCAAAATTATTTTCCGACAAAATTTTCTTTCTGCGGAAAATTTTCCTGAGTGGAAATGGGCGTTTAGACCTAACCTGAAGTAGTTGTGAAAAATAAAACTATCGGCCCTCTGTCTTTAACTTACGTTGTTTTGTTGGACAACTTCAACAATCTCCTCCTCTGCATCTGCTTTTTCCGTTTCTTCAATATTATTGTTATGATTGCTTGTGTTCATCTAAGCGAACAAAACTTGTTATTACTAATTGTCGTATTATGTTTTGGTCAGACTTTCGCGCAGTCAATTTGAACATAGGCGTACTAAAGATGTGTTTGTGTAAATTAACATCGTGTATACGCAAACTATAGCCACAAGAGTTACTTAACAGGGGCCGGGTGTTCGAAACAAGGCCTTTTTAACCATATAACTGGGGGGGCAAAGCCCCCATCCCCTGTGGTGCCCCCCGTCCCTTTCGTCTAAAATATAAGCAAAACATTGGACGAAAAATGGAATTTGGAAGGGAGGTTTGATATTCTAGTAACTGAACCTTGCTTTGTGAATCTTATGTCATGTGTGTTATTTAGTCTTTTTAAAAATGCTAAATATTGTGTTGTAAATACCTTTCCTAGGGGTGAAAAAACACGAACATTTTCAAGGGGAGAATGCCACCAGACCCTCCTACTATTACATACGACACCAGTATAGTATGGTTCCTTTCTGTAGATGCCTCCCCATTCTCCCCGAGGGTTATACAACTGGCTCTAGTTGAATTACGAAACCTTTTTCTGCTCTGCGTTATACTCTTTCATCATTTGAATCACATTAACACGAGCAGAAGATTCATTATCACCCTAAAGTAAAAAAAGAAAATATAAAGTAAAAAAAGAAAACGCAAATGAAAGGGAACGCAAATGAAAGTGAACGCAAATGAAAGGGAACGCAAATGAAAGTGAACGCAAATGAAAGCGAACGCAAATGAAAGCGAACGCAAATGAAAGGAACGCAAATGAAAGTGAACGCAAATGAAAGTGAACGCAAATGAAAGAGAACGCAAATGAAAGTGAACGCAAATGAAAGAAAACGCCAGACTTACATTTACCCAAGGATGATCCTTGATTTCCATCGCCGTAGATCTGTGTGCTGGATCAACCTCGAGCATTCCTTCCAAGAGATTTTTGGCTGTTGAAAATACAAAGAGTACATTCAAACATCTGCCAGTAACTTGTCTTCATATACGTGTACAACATAGAAATAATTTAGATAGAGTATCTATGATATAGAAATGCGAAGGTCGCTGGTTTGATTCCCAGCCGTGATCAAATAGAATTTTCTGCTTGCCCGGCTCATACTCGTAAGAAGATCAATACACCTATACATTTACATCACGAGTAGAATCTCAAATAGAAAAAAATCAGTATCATTCTATTATTTCTATGATGTTGTACAGAAATATTCAACATACATCATAACATATAGAAATACCTGATTCATTAATTGTCTGCCAACACGGATGGGTAAAGTCTAACTGTCCTTGTTTGATCAATTGATACAGTTTCTCTTCAGTCGGGGCTTGAAATGGCGGTGAACCTGTAAGACTGCAAAAACAAAATTATTTGTACTGGATCTCAATGTTCTCCTTAGAGATCCACTAAGGATAAGCTAAACTAGACTAACTTTATTTATACGGGATAGCTCTATCAGTTCTAACTTTATTTATACGGGATAGCTCTATCAGTTCTAAACTGTTTTTCCTACAGGTCCAGTAAGGATCATCTCTTATATTGATCCATTGTTACTACAGGAGGAAATCTAAACTAATTACTTCATTTATATCGGATAATCACTTACAGTGTAAATAAAATAACTCCAATGCTCCAAATATCGCATTGTCTACTGTACTCATGTTCATCAATCACTTCTGGAGCTAAAATTGAGAAAAATACTCTTATTCAAAACTCAGAGAGTTTCACGCGGGCCCAAATTTGCAGGCATCATCGCAGGCACCATGTCAAAAGCATTTTTCAGGTCGAGATTGTCCTGTGCCGAGATTGTAGGTTTATCACAATATGTGGCATCACATGTTCTCTGAAGTCTATACTGTATACTGCAGCTATTTCAATTAATGTTGTCCCCGAGCAAAGCGGAAAAGTCGAATACGAGGGGGAAATGCTGCTGTGAATCGCTAAAAAATCATTTTTTAGCGATTCCCAGCAAGCCTTTCGCGCTCGTATTCGACTTTTCCGCTTTGCTCGGGGACAACCTTGATTGAAATAGCTGTATGTAGAAAGTTTTATATTTGGCTATTGCTAACACTGGAAAAAAAAATTGAAAATCCATAGAATGGAAATTGTATGGACCTTTATTGGAAAGCGAATGAATTTTGATTATCCATAATAATTAATATATACTCCCATACTATGGATACAGTGTCGAAATAGTATGGATATACTATGGATTTAGTGGTGCAATTGTAAATCTCATAAGTATGCATTTTCCAGTGTAACAGAGGAGATTTTTATAATTTCGATTTTGCTGTCAGGAAGAGAAATATATTTTCTAGGCCTGCCTGAAAATTTGTTACAAATGTTGCGCAGTACTTGGCTACTTCTGTATGTATGCTAGGGCAAGTCTACCACAAGGATATTTCAAGAAATAAATATGTCTGTCGCTCTTACCCATATACATAGGCGTTCCACACACACTTTGCATCATCGCTTCTCCGCTGCCTTTGATATACGACAAACCAAAATCGCTGATCTAAACGAAGATGTTGAAACAATAAAACAAGTCGAAACTTAAGATTCACCCATAAATGGTATTGTGCCCTGATGCACCTATTTTTTACTATACTTTGTCTAACGCTGGATAATTTTAATCGTCACGAGGAGAACGATGGCGCTCTGTGGGTCAAAAAGGACGAACAAATATATCACTCGAGAATAAATTTTACTACGGGTCTGAAATTTAATTTTTTTTCGGGATTCAAAGTTCTAACATCCCATTTGAGAATCTAGTGTCCGACAAAATGCGAACATTGCCTCCCTGCATATCAACGGGAATCCACTCAACATCGTATCATCATTTAAAGTACTTGGTGTCACTCCGAACGACCATCTGAAGTGGAATGATAATGTCAACATTCTAGTGAAAAAAGCTTCTATAAGCGCCTGTACATTTTGCGCATACTGCGGAGACGTGGTGTTCCATCGGCGGACCTACTACCAGTTTTCTTTGCCCTGCTACGTTCAGTCCCAGAGCAGTTTGGCATACGAGCCTCCCTGATTATCTTTCAAACAAGATAGAACTTGTTCAGAAGCGTGCCTTGCGTATATTATACCCAGGTTTACATTACATCGACGCCTTGAAATCGCCCATAAATCCCTCGCTTAGACCCGAGATATGAGTTGTGTACGAAAACCTTTGAGAAGATTACTAAACCCAACAACCGATTGAACGACCTTCAGCCACGAACATGGGTGGTCGCGCATGCACGGACGCACAATAAAGACTGTTTGTCCCAACCAAAGTGTCGTACTAACAGGTACAAACATAGTTTTATTCCAGCAATGTGCTTTGACGCAAGGAATAAACTTCAGTGATAGAGTTTCTAAATATCGTTTCATTGGTAACTTCATTACTTGTATATTATACAAATTTAACTTTTTAGATACCTTATGTATAAACATATTATAATTCATTGTATTAATGCCAAGATATGTGAATAACCCATTTATAATAATCAAAACCAAATTTTAGTATCCCAGCCAAATTTTAGTATCCTGTGGATCAGTGGATATCCGAATACTGTATGTTTCAGATTCTTATTTACTTACTTTAATGTTAATTGGTTCATCATTAACAGGTTTACATAATAAAATATTTTCTAACTTCAAGTCTCTATGAACAATATCTGTAAGACCATAAAAAAACCATTTAATATTTAATGATAATGAAAGAACGCATCAAATTGATATCAAATCTTACCTAGATCATGCAGGTATGCAATTGCATCTGCTAACTGTCTGATCACTGTGAGCGTTTCCTGGGTTTAGAATGGAGAATTTTATGTTCAGGATGGAACTCCATCTGGGGAAGAAATCACATGCGAGTACTGGGGGGGGGGGGGCGTACCTCATCTAGCGATGTCTAGCACCCCCTAGAGAAGTCCAGCACCACCCTACAAAATCTGCTTGACCATACATTTTCTGCTTATCGAATAGCGATTATAGCGTAACTTCTACTGTTAGCGCATGTCGATTCCTTGAAACGATTTAATTGATTTGTGAGCTCACGAAAAAATACTCAGAATGCCTTAGTTAAATATCATGGTTAAATATATAAACATGTCGAGGTTGTTATACAGCCATATTTTCAAATATACTGTACTATCACAAGAAACGTTACTGTACTGTGCTGTGCTACAGCGACTGTCCAGTCACACATATGTGATAAAAATCTGATATAAACTTTCTAAACAAAAGACAATGTAAAACGTAATAGAACGGCGAACATACAGATTCGGCCATCTCAAATAATGGTAATATTGGGATAGTAGCGTTGCAGACTGCAGAGGAGAGTGGGCAGTAAGGCTCCCTCATGCACCACCCCATGGATAACTTGCACCCCTCCTTGCAGATGACGCTATAGATCCGCCCCTGAGAGTACGTTTTAGTTTCAAATGAGAAAATTGTACTCACATTTTCATTCAAAGTTTTTCTCACTCGGAGAAGATCACACAATTCACCTTGGTCACATAACTCCATAACCAGAAACATTTTCTAAAACCATAGATTATATAGGATGTAGCATGGCTCATGAATGTAGAGATTAGAGAATGTTACTCATAAATAAACAACGGCCTGTTGGAGCGAGTCAGCTTTCATGAAGAGCTCACATACCGTAGGTGTTTCATATACTTCATTCAAACAGACAACATGCTGATGATCAATCATTTTCATAATATTCACTTCGCGTTCCAGCATCTTTACGGCATAACTACCAGCCTAAATACCAAGCATTTTACCGTAAGCTTCTCTCTTATATATAGCCAGGGTCTTAGCTAGGATTTTAGAACTTGGGCGTGTTTCTAAATGACCAGGGTTTGCACATGTCAATTTCCTCAAATAGCCAAATTCGCGGTTCTAGTTATGGTCGCCAACAACAGACCATACCTGTGGTTGTTCTATGCTTTGCAACCAAATACAAGGCGAGCATACGCTCATATTACGCACTGACATTAAAATATTAAGTTTTTTCAGCAACTCTTGGGGGTATTTAAAACCATTGTAACACCATACAGTTCCCATTATCCACCAAAACATTAAAACATCACATGCAGATCACTTTCGCCAATTTCAACAATAACCGTAGATTTTACAAACTTTCTTACAACGTACAGTGAATAGGAAGAAATTCTGTTTGTTATTTTATGAACCTACACAGCCTTATATAAATAATGAAACTGCATTCATTTTATCTAGCCGTGTTTTTCCCTTTTTGGCCGCGATAACACGGCCAACACGGCCCTCTGGCTAAGACCCTGTATGTAGCCCTTCAATCTTTATTGCAAGATGTATCATTATGTTATGGTCACAAGGCAGTAATGAATGTTTAAAGATGTGGTCAGCATGTCAGCTTCGTTCATAAATGGAACGTTTCACACATTAATTTCATCGTGGCAACGGTTTGCTACGCATCTTAAAGGTCCTAGACTTGCCACAAGTCCAGACACACCGGACGAGATTCGACAACGCGACGCGATTTTTCGATTTTCACTGACCGATACCTTTGATCCTAGTTTAAATTTCCAAATGTTTAGAAGCGTAATAACATTTTGAGTTAGTTGATCTACATATATTTTAAAATCTGCTCTCATTGGCTGTTTTATTAACTTTCAAAAACTAAAAAATCTCGTCGCGTTGTCGAATCGCGCGTCCGGTGTGTCTGGACCTTAAGGCCGAGACACACAAGACGCGATTCGACAACGCGGCGCAATTTTCCAGTTTTTGAGAGTTAATAAAACAGCCAATGAAAGGAAATTTTAAAAGATATGTAGACCAAATAACTCAAAATGTTACAGCGCTTCCAAATATATGAAAAACTTAAACCAGGATTAAAGTTAGCGACTGGTCATAAAGTAACTGCTAGGGTGGGCTGGAGGTAAATCACAAATTTTGCCAATAAATTCGGTGACCCATCTTAGGATGTAGATAAAAATTTCAAAGCCCATCTAATCTTACAAAAAAATTTTCATGACCCACCCAATCTAAATTGGGAAAATACACTTTAATAATAAAAAAAACTTGCACGTATGAACATTGTAAATATACACGGCACTGTATTGACATACATAATTCCACCAAGCTTGACCAACACGTTGATACTGAGCTGCTCTCCAGTTGGTTGTATTGCTGTGATTCGACCACTTCTTGTTGTTGTATAAACTAATTTGGATAGTTTTGTTTACTTTTATTATTAATATCTTTATTTTTTGAAGTAGACATGCATGGGTTTTTGTTTGGTGGCCCAACCGTGGACATACAAAAAAATTGGCGGCCCATCGAAACTGCCCAAAGATTTTCCATGGCCCATCCCAAATCACTCCAGCCCACCCTAGCAGTTACTTGGCTTTTAAGGATACCGGATTTCAGTACACCTTATAGCCAACGGCGGTTTGTGGCTATAAAGGATGCTGGATTTCGGAAAACCCTACAGCCACGACGGTCTGTGGCTATAAACAACACCAGCTTTCAGTATACCTTGCAGCCACGGCGGTTTGTGGCTTTTAAGGATAACGGATTTCAGTATACCTTACAACCACGGCAGTTTGTGGCTATAAAGGATACTGGATTTCAGAAAACCCTACAGCCACGGCGGTTTGTGGCCGCTATAAACAATACCAGATTTCAGTATACCTTGTAGCCACAGCGACTTGTGGCTGTAAACAGAGTAAAGGATACTGGATTTCAGTATACCTTACAGTAGATAGTCACAGCGGTTTGTGGCTGGCTGTAAAGGATACCAGATTGCAGTATACCTTTTAGCCATGGCAGTTTGTGGCTATAATGGATATTGGATTTCAGTATACCTTGTAGCCTTGACGGTTTGTGGCTATAAAGGATTTCTGTATACCTTATAATAGAGCTGCTCCCATCGGTTAATTTTCGTAATCGATTAATCGTTGTCAACAATCGATTAATATCGATTAATCGCATTGATAATTAATTTAAATATGACAAGCCCATGGTGGTTTGACTGGTTTCTAAATTGTAATTGAACTTTACTAAATTCGCAAGACTCCATCTCTTATGGATAATTGGTTTATGTCCGCACGTCGCAATGTTGGACGCAAATGGTAATACATTCTTCTAGTAAAAAACTTTAAAGATATTTTCGCAGCACTCGTAATTAACTCATTTGCGCATAACGCTGCGTGGTGTTATAGATGATCCGATTACTGTTAAGCATAATCGATTGTGGAAAAATAATCGATTATTCGATTGATCGATTAATCGGGAGCAGCTCTACCTTGTAACCACAGCGATTTGTGGCTACAGAAGATAACAGATTTTGGTATGGTGATGAGCAAGCCCATATGTCTACCAAATCCTGTTATATGCTCATGAAGATGCTTTGGAGTTACTAGCCAATAACTCAAATAACTCCAGACGAAAAGCCTTCCCACGAAACGTCAAAATTCTCCTTATAAATATATTTTCAGGTAGTAATTGCATCCCCACCAACGAAAGCTTGTCCATAGTGTAAACAGCCTAGCCTTAGAGCTTCTGGAGACCACAACGAAAGGAAAATAATTATTTTCACAATAAATATCGGTCATTGGGGGAAGTTGAATTTTTTTGTAAGACTTGGACATTTAAAATGTCACTTGAACATTGTTTTATTTGAATGTGCGTCACTCTACATTTATACTGAATACATCACAGTCTACCTTCTCCTTATTGACAGATTTCACAGCCCATTTTAAACCAGTAGTTTGACATTGAGCTTCATAAACACGGCCAAAACTCCCCCTGCCCAGTTCTTGTCTGAACTCGTAAACTTTCTCAAACTCATTCTCGTCCTCGAGACGTGTGTGAGGGACGTTCCTTGTTGAGCCACCTGGTGAGCCCTTTCTTGCCGAGCTTTTCAACATCAGGAGTCTTCTTTTGAACAAGGAGATGAAATGCTACAAATAACATTTGATTCTGGTTTTTATAAATGAATGCAAAGGCCAGTCGAATTGCATTCACAACCCAATGTTTCGACACTCCAGTCTGGTGTCTTCAACAGGAGTGATCTGAAGTCGCAACGTGGCTTCTTACATACCGCAGGGCTTAAAAAAATCAGAAATGCCGTACGAGGTTGTATGCTCTGTATTAAGTTAACATGCCGTATGTTTAATCAATGTTAACTTATGAGTTATGATTTTGTATACTAGTTTTTGTATAAAATCCCCTTATAGAAATGCATTTGAAACGCTGGATGTAAACGACATAAACAAAGATGGCCATCCGGGATTCGAGCAGTGAACTCAATGTTTCTAGATCAATGTTTCATGTTTGATTGTTATAAATACATGGATATTTCAGGATCAGGGTTAGAGGTGAATGTCTTGGCGTACACCAAGCTAATTTCAGCATACAACCGCACATCCGTACACCTATTTTTTAAGCCCAGATACCCATGGAACAGTGGTGTAGCCAGATCCTTAATTTGGGACGGGGGGCAAAGCGAGTTGGTAGGGTGATTCTGTGTCTCAGGGGAAATTTTGAAATCTAGAGAATTCCGAAGAAATGCAGAATTCCGAAGATTACAAAGTAAATCGAACACATGATTTTTTACCAGATATTTCTCCTCGGAACTAAATGAATTGCATGGAAAAGTCACCTTGGAGGGGTCCGTGCCAATCCACTTCTTAAAAATACAATTGAAGTTAACCGGGTAAATTTGACGAAGGGAAAATAAAATTTGTTCGAGTCAGGAAGGAGATTGAGTTCGCGAGTTCGACTTAACCGGAATTTGAAAGCGGCACAGAAAAGTCACGATTAGCTGTGTCACGCTTAGCAGCTTCGTGTGAACACAAACGCTTTACTTTTTTGTACCGCTTGTAAACAAAAAATCTCAGGTCTAAAAACGGTAAATTCGAATGCTTACTTTCGTTTAAATTTCTTTGCTCTATTTGAAATACTTCAATGGGTTTACATAAGTGATAATTCAATTTGTAAACAAACTGTAACAGCCGTAGTGTGAACACACATAAATTCTACTGGCAAGTCGAACAAGGCCATTCCCCCCGATTCAACCATGTAACAGTATTGGTTTTAGCTAATCCCTTGGTTATTTACACATATGCATGATCATATTAATAATTTTGGAAACTTCCATGTTATTTTAAATCATGCTCTCTACTCAAAAACCCCTGAAAAGGCCAAATTCGCCTTACGAGATTTCAAACTTCAGAAGATCAATATATTTTATGACTACTGCATCAATTCTCAAATAGGACAACATTTTGCATAAATTAGTTTGAACATCACGAATCAGAATTATATCAAAGATATTTTAAAACACTGGCTAACAGACTACGCTTCATTCGCAAAATACTAAACATTAGAGCAAAAACCAACTAAAAACAAGCTGCAACAGAAGCAAAATCGCAAACAACTGCCACAAACCGGTATCTAGTTGAATGCAAATGACATTTTTGACACATACCTCAACCGGCTTAATCAGCCCTAGGCGAAGCTTTTAAAGACATTTCTCGTCACTGTTGTATAAAATAAGGCTGTATCCATAACATATCATCTTCTTAAAAGTGAAATTCTCCTATAATCTACTTAAAACCATTATAAACGGTCTTTCTTTACCAGAACAAAGATTTATGTAAATAAACATGGACGAGTTGCCATGCAAGCGCCAAGCAACAGGAAGTCGCCAGATATTCGAAAAAAATTACCAGAAAAAAATGACGTCCAAATCACTGAACTCAATATCACTGGACCGATCCTTTTTATGATCTCAATATATAACTGGACAATAACGACGTTTCTGCTATAATGTACATAATTGGTATTTTAGCGGTTTTAATAGCCAGGATGGGCAAACCAGGAGACACATCCCTGGAGACACCGTTTGCCTCCTGACAAAAAATTGATCAAGATAGTGACTCTGATTGATTTACATATTGTATTAATGTATTGACATTATGACTGTTGACATTGCTTTTTATGCCCTGGGCAAACTAGGAAACATTGTTGCGGCATTGTTTCCTGCCAATGTTTCGCCATGTTTCCCAGAGTGAACAAACACTGGGAAACATTAGTGAGAAACACAGGGAAACATCAAATGTTTCTGCATTTGCTAGGAAACAGTTTTGCTTCCCGGGAAGCAAATTTTGTTTCCGCAACAATGTTTCCATGGGTGGGCAAACATTGAAACATTTGAGGAAACATCGAGAATCACAAATGTTTCCACAACAATGTTTCCTATAGTTTGCCCAGGGCTTTAGTCTTCAATATTTGAGTGAGTCGTGCTTTGAAAGTGACCATGGGCGTACGGGAAGGGAAAAATTAGGGGGGCGGAAAGAAATTTGCCCGACTTTTTGGATGTGCCCGAGTTGTCAAAAAAAATTTCCGGAGAAACTTTCCAAAATTGTTGTCGACGGGGGGAGGAGTGATAACGAAAAATTCCTATTAGATAGCATATTTCCCACAAAATTGACAGAATTTCCCAAAAAATTGACAGAATTTGTCCCATTTATTTTTATAATAAGCCAATATTGCCCGACTGTAAAGCGAATATTGCCCGACTGGCTTTGTTTGCCCAACAAACTGGGGGGGGCTGCCGCCCCCTCCGCCCCCCCGCCCGGTACGCCCATGAAAGTGACAATATTTTTTTATTACCCAACCCTTTTCTCTTCCGTGACAATTCCCGCCATAAATAATGACCGCTCCCTAACAACCATATTCACAATGAAATGAATGAATTCCGTGGTACAAATAAGGTTTTATCCAGGAAGCATTGTTTCCTACTTTCTAGTCATACTTCATATTTCATATTCCAAAGCAGAAGAATATTGTTTCCAAACTAATGTGTCAATCAATTTATACAGGCCTTAAAATATCTTTTACAGGGCCGTCTGACAAAATGTCCGGTGACGTGTTGAGTTTGGGTCGGACATATGGCCGATGACCTTCAGTTCAGTTTTGACTCGGAAATAAGTCCCAATTACACAAATGAATAACGGTAAACTTTTGTAAAGATATTAAATAATTTGTTTCTTTCATACTTATTTCCAAGACAAAATGAACTTGCTTGCCAGAACAGCAGTATTAAAAAAGACTTCGACAACTTAAGCCCGTTTTCCACTTCACCATTTCGCTCGCCTCCCCGCGCTTGACTACGTTAAAACAACATTTCCAGTTCACCTTTTATACAATAGTACGTTGATTTTCCATTTAACATACAAGTCTCTAGTCCTGGGCTAGGGTACATTTTGATATACGTCGGACAAAGCTACAGTTCGGTCGGACACCAATGCACTCGTGTCGGACAAACGATAAACCTCAGCAGTCATTTTGGTCGGACAGAATGTCCGGTTTTGTGTTATCTGGGCATTTGAACTTTTTGAAATTTTGTGGTCAAATTTTTTTTTGTCAATTTATCAATAATCAATTTATTAAAAGATACCAATTTTGCAGTTAAAAACTGAATTACATTGGTTTACATGCATATGAGTAAAAATGTCTACAAACACTCCTTATTTACAAGTTGTTAATTTTGATAGTTCTAGGTAAGAATGTAGCTAAACAATTATTATTTAAAACTAGAGTTGTGGGGCCTTACTACCGGCCATAATAAAACTATTAGCAAACCTACTTGTCCTATGCTTTGGTATTGAAAGACAGTTATTATTACGTAGAGAATACCTGTTTAAGGCTGTCTTGGGGGAACGAGAGAATGGAGTTGATGGGATGTTTCATCACACATTTGATCGAAAAGTTTCTCGCACATGGTCTTTCTCCGCAGGAACAGTGACACCACCCCAGCACGTACCAACGCATCTTCATATTTGAGATCAGGAAAGATTATACGAAGGGCTCTGCGTTGAATACTCTCGATCTCGTCGCTCAAGTATTGCGCCAAGCTATAGTGCCATACCTCGCACAAAAATTATATTGATGGTCAAATGCCTCAACTCCCCAATCATTCTGACTGTTCAGTTGAAGTTTGGAATTGTGTGAAAGTAACTTAGGGACCGGTCATTATTTATGGCGGGGGGTGGCACCGAAGAGAAATGTTTTCCGTGTCAAAAATTTTGCTGACCCAACCATTAAAAAGACAAAAATTTGATTACCCAACCTGAAATATCAATTAAAAAATAGCTACCCACCCCTGGCCAAAAACTTAACAAAAGGATACCATTCAGTTGTCATACATGTCCTTTATCACTTCAGTGACATGAGTTTGATAACGGCTTGTGAAATTTTCTGCAGTCTAAAGTTTCATGTTGTCTGCACATGTACTTTCTTTGGAAACACAATTTGTTTTGTCAAACTATGATCAAAATAGTGACTCTGATTGACTCACATATTGTATTGACAAATGACTGTTGACAATGCTTTTCGATTCAGTCTCCAATATTTCAGTGGGTCATGCTTTGGAAATGACAATAAATTTTTATTGCCCAACCCTTGAGTTGTTTTGTTTTTCATTTACCCAACCTTTTACTTACTCAAAATTTTGTTTACCCAACCTTTTTCTCTTCGGTGTCACCCCCATAAATAATGACCGGTCCCTTAATTCAACAGTTTAATAAATGACTATTACATAAAAAATAAATAACTCTCACACCTCATGCTCTATAAAGTTTCCAAAAAGTATTTGAAGGATACTCCATTTTGAATTTTGTTTTTTGTTTTTTTAAAAAGGTTTTTTAATTAATAGTCTCAGACCTCACGCAATCTGTTCTATTGTGACGCAGCGTCAAATGCCCCACCCTAACAGCAGTTCAAAAGGTCAAATTTCCAACTCTGGGGATAGAGCAAGGTGTCAAATGCCCGGGGTATGCCCAGGGGGGGGGAGTTAACAGTATAAATTGATTGGCGCATAAGTGCACCGAAACGGTCCGAAAGTGCGCAAGCCATGAAACAGCGTTCCCCGGCAATATTTCCCAAAAGTAAGCAAACCAAGAAACCTTTAATTCCTTGCAAGATACCTCTCCAAGACTATCCTATATTACATATATTTCCTAAAACTATCCTAAAGCGTTCCGCTGCGAGCTCTCCCGCCAAAACTAAACAACTTGACAGCTTTCTTTTTAGCTGACAGTTTCCTCTGTCGCTTTTCGGCCAGCCGTGTTTTTCGCACTTGAAGTAACAGTTCTTTAAAAACTGTTTGAACATTAAAATAATCCTCAGCGGCTGAAACTTCAAAATATGCGCAGTCAAATCTCGCTGCTATGGCCTTCCCCTCCTCGTACGACACTTGGCGAGCGCCAACCAAGTCACGTTTGTTGCCTAGCAACAAGATGATCACGTCATTAGAGTCCCCCAATTCGGAGATAGTTTGAACGTAGTTGATAGCTTCGTTGAAAGAATTGGAATCTGTGATGGAATAGACGACAACACAACAGTCAGCCGAGCTTAGTAAAGATGGAGTGATTTCTTTTAACTAGATAAATATAATAAAGGAACGTAGTTAGACCACAGTTACTTTAGGTTTCCTCCTGTGGATTAATAAGAGATTATCCTTACTGGACTTCTACGGAGAAAAATTTAGAACTGATAGAGCTGTCCAGTATAAATGAAGTTAGTTTAGTTTAGGTTTCCTCTTGTAGTAACACTGGATTAATAAGAGATGACTCTTACTGGAAGAACAGTTTAGGACTGATGGAGCTATATCCAGTATAAACAAAGTTAGTGTAGTTTCGGTTTCTTTCTGTAGTAACACTGGATCAATAAGAGATGACTCTTGCTGGAAGAACAGTTTAGAACTGATGGAGCTATTCAGTATAAATAAAGCTAGTTTAGGTTTCCTCCTGTAGTAACACTAGATCAATAAGAGATGGATCCCTCTAGGGAGAACGGTTTAGAACAGATAGAGCAATCCAGTATAAACAAAATTAGTTTAGTTTAGGTTCCCTCCTGTAGTAACACTGGACCAATACTGGAGATGACTCTTAATTACTGGACCTCTAGGAAGAACAGTTTAGTACTGATAGAGCTATCCAGTGTAAATAAAGTTTATTTATAATTTTCCAAGACAAATGCACGAACTATGATAACTCACATTTCCGGGGTAATCAAGTATTGAGAACTTTAGGATCTCGCCTGCATCATGTCGGATTTCTCCACGATATGTGGACACTGAAAATATATAATGAGGTATTTAACTGTGTTTCGTGTTAACCCATATGTCTCCAAAATAATAGAGTAAACAAGGGGAAAAGAAAACCATTGACTATATTTAACAAATAGATAAGATTCTGCCGTTGTCTGTTCATATATAGATACATAGTATGACGTCATAATGCGGGAAGAACAAAAAGTCGCTCACGAGCCGCCGAGGCGAGTGCGTGGGTCACATTTTTGTTCTTCCCCTATTATGTTGTCATACTGTATCTATAACTGGACAGACAACAACAAAATCTTATCTATTTGTTTTATATAATGAAAAAGAAAACCCCCGAGTTAAACAGGTAAATAGCTTACTTTTTATGCATCCAAATCGTTTGAAATTTGAAAAAGTTAAAATTTTACAAGTATCACGCGCTGACGCGCACATGTTCGAGCTACACAAATAAGGGAATGCTATTGGCTACTTTAATTGTGACATAAATCCGTGCGTCTGTCCTCTAAAGGCCTGATTCCACGGGCGCTTTTTCTCGGCGAAATGCGAAATATTTCGCCTGTTTCTTTTGAATTGCGACCACTCGAATAAATTATTTCTACTTGGTTGCCCACAATTCAAAAGAAACAGGCGAAATATTTCGCATTTCGCCGAGAAAAAGCGCCCGTGGAATCACGCCTAAAAGGCCTGAGAGAAAGTAATTCGCTCTCAAGTTTTAAAAGAAAAATCGCTACCTATAGCTTATAAAGAAAACCACATCATTGTATATAGCAAACATTTTGTATATATTTTAATAATTTTATATTCTGCATGTTAATACTTCCTTATTATTTTACTTGTAACAATTTGTTAATGTTTTTTACACGCCCATTGTGGAAACCAGCTTCTGCTGACAAACACAAATAATATGAAAAAGAGTTTCATGTATGATGGAGCTTCCATATGGAACTCTCTTCCAAAAAATATAAGAGAAAGTAATTCGCTCTCAAGTTTTAAAAGAAAAATCGCTACCTATAGCTTATAAAGAAAACCACATCATTGTATATAGCAAACTTTTTGTATACATTTTAATAATTCTATATTCTGCATGTTAATACTTCCTTATTATTTTACTTGTAACAATTTGTTAATGTTTTTTACACGCCCATTGTGGAAACCAGCTTCTGCTGACAATGTTAGCGTGATTAAATAAAGTTTATCATCATGATTCCACGACGGCGAAATTCTTCGCGCGAAATCGTGTGTGCGAAACGAGGGGCATTTCACTCCAAAAATCCCGTACACTTCGTCAAAAAATCCGGAAAAATCCGAACAAATCCGGAAAATCCAGCAGATTTTCTCTTCAAAAATCCGCTAAAAATCCGGGGAAAATCCGCTAAATCCGCTAAAAAATCCACGGGTTTTTAAAAATCCGAAAATCCCATACGCTTCGTCAAAAAATCCAGAAAAAATCCGAACAAATCCGGAAAATCCAAACAAATCTGGAAAATCCAACAGATTTTCTCTTCAAAAATCCGCTAAAAAATCCGGGGAAAATCCGCTAAAAAATTCGCGGATTTTTAAAAATCCGAAAATCCCGTACGCTTTTTTGGAGTGAAATGCCCCTCGGTGCGAAATATGGATGGCTGCACAAGAGTGATTTTATTAGTGAATTTGCACTCTCTTTTCGCTTTCGCAGTTAGTAGAACGGACTCCTATATACTCACTGGCGAAGCGAAATTTTTTTCGCGAAGCCTAATTTATATTTACTGCGCATGCACGATTTCATTTCGTGCGACTAATGTTTCGCATTTCGCCGAGAAAAGCGCTCGTGGAATCAGGCCTTCATGGATCATGTCTCTCGACAAATGAAAGCGCTTGAGTTCATAACGTTATTATATAAAAGGGAATGGCTGAAGATATAATGTGTCAAGAGGAAGCTATACCGAGTTTAAACTCTCGTAATTTTCTTTCATTTAAACATTTTGCTACAGCTTCGTAAAAACAATACTATAGCTGCGGTCTTTCGAGTATAAGTAGTAAACACGCGGACGTTTGACAGCGGTGTTATTATTTAAGACACGAAATATTTTTTCGTGACGACTTGACGCTTGTTTGGAGGACGCGCGCGCAGTGTTTCAATTCTATTTCAGAAACATCCTCAGAGATATCTCTAGGAAATTTCATATGAAAGATTTCATATAAAAGAGCCAGAGATTTCATATGAAAAACTAGTTTCATATGTAATATATGAACAACGAGAGTGAGTGTTTCACCGGGATATCCAAACACGGGAAAACAATGTATGAGAACACGAGCGCGAAGCGCGAGTGTTTTCATACATTGTTTTCTCGTGTTTGGATATCCCGGTGAGACACGAGCTCGAGTTGTTTATATGGCTTCTCAAATGAATCGAGACGTAACAGAATGTTTTCGTTTGCTGATTTGAATCGAATTCTTAACCAAGCATAAAGTAATTAGGAATTCTATTCAAGTAATTTTGCATGCGTAATTAAGATATTTGATGAAAACACTAGTGACTTTCATCAAGTTTCACCGGGTTATCCAAATGGCATCTTGTGATCAAATAGGTGATTATCATTGGCTGAATTACTCATGAATTATTAATGAATTTGAGAAGACATACGTAATACATACATGCGTGTAAAAATCTCACACAACTTGTCAATAAGATGTGTTCGCAACAGGCATCTAGCAAGCTTGTCAGCAAGTTGTAACAATACTGTTATTTTATCAAGTTGCTACAAGGTTGTCATTCACAACTTCTTGACAACTTGTTGAATTACAGGACGATAAAACAAGTTGTTGGAACAACTTGCAACAAGGCTGCTGAGCTCAACAACCTTGTAGCAAATAGACAATTCCCATTATAGACTAATTTTAAAACTAGGCAAGGAGATGCAAATAAATCACCACAGCTAGAAAGAGCATACTAAAATTAGTAAAATTACAAAATTTGGTTGCGAAATGTTGTAAAATGTGGAAAATATAGCCTTGCAAAGTTCGCAAATTTTGTATACTTTTGTATTGCGTGCGACATTTTCGGCCTAAATGTGGTAGGAATGTGGTAGGAATTTCCGCAAGCAATACAAAAGTATACAAAATTTGCGAACTTTGCAAGGTTATATTTTCCTCATTTTACAACATTTCGCAACCAAACTTTGTAATTTTACTAATTTTAGTATGTTCCTTCTAGCTGTGGTGATTTATTTGAGTTTTCTTGCCTAATTTTAAAATTAGTCTATAATGGGAATTGTCTATTGTCAACAAGCTGGAAACAAGCGGTGCTAACACGTCCTGATGACAAGTTGTTGGAACAGCATTGCTTCAAGTCTGCTGCAGGTTTGTTACAACTTAGTACACACGTAAAAACGCACAAGTTGTTACAAGTCTGCAAACACGTAGTTACAAATCTGTTCACAAGCTGTCGACAAGTTGTGTTCGCACTGCTTGTTCCCAGTTGTTGTAACAGTTTGGAACAAGCTGTTAAAAACTTGTAACAAGCTTGATAGCATTATCAGACTTGTTACAAGGTTGTTCCAACAAGTCTGATACAGTCATGATATAACAAGAATGTTATATAAGGTTGACCAAACAAGGTTGTAACGATATTGTTATATCAGGACTGTATATCGGACTTGTTGGAACAACCTTGCATGCAAGTAAGAGGTCTGATAATATCAACAAGGTTGTTACAAGTTGTTCACAACTTGTTGGCAGCTTGATGGCAGACTTGCTACGCACTAAAAACGCACAAGTTGTTACAAATCTGTTCACAAGCTGTCGACAAGTTGTGTTCGCACTGCTTGTTCCCAGTTGTTGTAACAAGTTTCGAACAAGCTTGATGACATTATCAGACTTGTTACAAGGTTGTTCTAACAAGTCCGATACAGTCATGCTATAACAAGAATGTTACAAGGTCGACGACACAAGGTTGTAACAATATTGTTATATCACGACTGTATCGGACTTGTTGGAACAACCTTGCAACAAGTCTGATAATATCAACAAGGTTGTTACAAGTTGTTAACAGCTTGTTCATTTCTTGTTGACAACTTGGGACAAGCAGTGCTTAGTCGATGTTGACGACTTGTTGACAGACTTGCTAAAAGATGTGAGATTTTTGCGCCTGTACGTACATATATCACGTGTCCTTGGCGTGTACGTGATATTCAAAGCGAATGTCTGTGAATCACAGTGAGTGAAGAAGCTATATATACCTGACGAACTGTCATACTCTCCAATAAATCTTTTTGTCAAAAGACGAACTGTTAACGCTGAAAAAAAAGAAGAGGATGTTATCCGAAATTTTCTAACAACATACATAGTACATACACTAATTATACATACACCTTATTATACATGCAGAAAATAAGACACTCACAACAAGTGTCTGACATATGGCTTCATTTATAGATCTAGTGCGGCAAAAAGGAAACTGTATCAATTTTCCTTGTCAAAACACTTTCAAACATGAGGAGGCCATGTTTTTGTTTACTTTGTGAGAAAATTCCACGAACACAGACTGATTGAGACAATTGCCATGATGAACATTTCAGCTAATGAAAAGAAACTGCAGTTCATTATTCCGAGTAGCGGTTTGTTTCATGTTGCTAGCTCTGCGCGGAAATCTGAAGCTATAGACATTTTAAGGATCTTAATTAAGTCGATCTGATAACGCTTGCATAAAAGTATTTAACAACTAATATCAATTATAAAGCTGTCTGTGAAAACCGCTACATAATTCTCTTGCAATTTGATAACACGTTTGTCATGTAGGTTATATACAGGGTGCATAAAAAAAAAGGTAATCGAACTTCAGGGCGTTATTATACGTTAATCACTCGGCGTATAAACAATTGGTTTTCATATTTGGAAAGATCAGGCTTTTAGCTATTGAATGACATGCTTTTCATACAAGTGGAGAAAAAATAAGCATGTACGAGGCCGATCAAAAATGTTTGTCAAAATCGCATATTTTCACCTCTGTTCCTAATTAAAACAATGCATAACAAAAGAAAAAGCAATTAATCACTAACGTGTCGTAGCTTAGCTAAGATTTATTCCTACTTAATAATAATTATGAATATGTGCGTAGTTTAATGAAGTGAAATTCATCAACTTAAGTACCAAAGGGAGTTCATTTTCAATGGTTTTAGACCCAACTCTCAACGGTGAAAATATGCGATTCTGACTAACATTTTTTATTGGATTCGTATTTGCTCATTTTTTATCCATTTGGCATGAAGAAGATATCCGATTCAACAGCTAAAAGCATGATCTTTCCGAATGTGTTTAAATCTCGTTCATACGCAGAGTAATTCGGATACAATAGCGCGCTGAAGTTCGATTATCTTTTTTTTTTATACACCCTGTATATGCTACTCTGATACGCCTCGAGTGAGGCACGCTTAATTAGTCTTTCTCACGGCCAATTTTCCCGCCATTTTTGGTGTACTGCCTCTCCCACGTTTTAGAGTCTCCGCACCACGAAATACAACTTTTTAGTATATTGACTATATTGTATTTGTATATAGTTGTTTATATATATAATGGTACATCTACAGTTACAAGTTTTAAAAGTCGCTTTTCACGTTGTTTGAATTCGGTCTAGAATCTTTCACGAGGCCAGACAGTACCCCCCAAAATAGTGGATTTTGGCCTTCGTGAGAAAGCCTAATTGCTCATGCATGCACTTCGAGTGAGGGGCTATTTTTAAATTTTCACGAGGTCAAAAGTTTGAACAAAAATTGCTTTGTATTGCTATCAATCAATGCTTTGAAACTGAATTTTGTGTGACATAGGAATTTTGCATATAGGTCATTCTAACTGAGTCAGTTTTGAAGTGATTTGTAAAAAAATGTTCGAAGGAAGGCTGACTCGGTGTTCAACATTAAGTCAGTTCCTCACTATTCCCTCACACATTTCGTACAAAACCTTCAAAAGGTAGAAATTATCTATGCAAAATTCCTATTGTGCATGATGACAGAACCTAGCTTTGATAGAGTAACCAGCCTTATAAGTATATAATGAACTCTTTTTGCATGAAACTGTAAATTTAATTCATATATATATGGAAACGTGATCCATTATTTGAATGTCAGATAAGAAGTGTAATGAAAACCTGAAATTAAAACTTGCCAGCCGAATGAAAAGGTGAATTAATGAAGAGATAAAATGTGAAACTTTTCAGTGGGAGGAATGTGTTAACAAGCGGTCAGTCATAGAAAAACTCATCGTGTATATATATGTACACATACTTTCCTCACGAAACGAAAACCTCGCGTAATATCATGCAGGTCTGTTCACGTTCAACTCATTTTTACGTGGACTGAAGCACCAATCCTGATTCATTCAGAGTAACGCAAGCTTCGATTGCTCATGTAAACACGACAGGATAGCAGATTGTGGTCAACCGCGAGCAGAAATGTTGACACGAAAAGGATCTTTTCTCCAAATTCCAAATATAAAAGACTTTTACACTATCGAAGTTTCTGTGATCACAGTAGGAATTTTTCATATTATAGGTAAATTGTAAGTTTTGAAGGATTTGCAAGAAATGTTTCAAGGGAAATGACTTAGTGTTAAACACCGGGTTGGCAGTCCCCTCAAACATTTCTTACAAATCCTTCAAAACTTACCGAGGCAAAACCACCAATGTGATCACAGAAACTTTGATAGAGTATTAAACCAAGACTACCATATTTTCGCACTCTGATAACTGTTGTTTGACCAGCATGATGATGATAGATATAGACACCATCTGTCGCACGATAGTGCTTAGTGAAACCCATCCACTAATCGATAAGAACTCTCCTGAGAATCTGAGATAGGACTCCCAACAACTCACTCACAGAGACACATATACCGGACTAAACTCGACTCGTTCTGTCAGAAAGAGCCTATATATATATCATCATTTTTTGTTCTCCCCGTTACGCCTGTATTCTAAACGCTCACCTGAGCTTCCCTCGAGAGTCAGTACTGTTTTTGAATAGCTGGATGGTGCATGAGTATATAGTAAGGTACTAGATTAATCCTCCAGCTCCAGCTATTCAAAAACAGCATTGACACTCAAGGGAAGCTCAGATTGAACCTGATCCACTCTCTGAGTGTGAGTGAGCTTTTAGAATACAGCCGTATATAGGCCCTAAGTCTCTCAAGACGTAGAATTTACCTAAACTCTAAAGCTATAGCCTATATGGCTATGCCTATGCTGCTATGCATTATCTATTTCAAGTATATAGCCCATGAATATTTGCATCTCTACCATATCGACGTTTTCTTTGTGAAACCAACTACATATATTGTTGTCTGACAAATCTTCAACTGTATCAATTAATACGTATATATTAATTCTCAAACAAAACTTTCATATTTTGAGTCGGAAATCATATTAACAGAAAGGCGTACAAAATGTATGGCAATAATAACATATATACGATGTTTACACTTAAAATACGACACCTCCCCCACAGGGACAATATTTCACCATACAACACAGAAGTCAATATATCAATATAATATACCCGCGAAATGAATACACAATTCTGTACATACCGGATTTGCCAACTTTAGCAGCGCCAAAAACGGACAGTGTAATTTCTCCCGTTTCATTTGACATCGTGAAATTGATCTCACATCCACATTCCTCTTGTGTTTATAAAGGCAAGGCACCAGAGTTACACCATAAACGAAGTATTAAGATAAACAAATTTCGTGCCACAGCTGTTTGAAGAGCAAAATAATTTCAAAATATTGTTTCGTAATTCTACAGTTAATCCTTCATTAGCTTTAATCACAGTTTCCGTATTAAATCGACAGGTTTCAGTGAAGTTTTGTGCTATCAAGTCACTGTGCCAATATAATAAGGGGTGACAGGGTCAAAGTCAAAATAGAGCTTGTTTCGCGATGATAAAGGTATGTTTTGAGACAAATTGCGAGCCTATTATATCTCCCTATGTGTCAACAGGTTCATTGAAATTTTTACAGAAATATCTCAGCGGGAAACGCCATATTGACGTGTGGAAAACTTTGTTAAGAGTTTAAACCTATTCCCACGTTTCCGTCCTTTGTATGTAAACAAGAAAAAATGAAAATGAGATGATATGAAGGCTTAAGTCTTGCATAAACAACAGGACAAGGAAAAATGAAATTGTTTTTGAGAATGACGGAGGGTTAATCTGGTTTTATGACGGGAAAGATTAACGTTTGCAGCTGTTTTTAATTGTATTCGGATCTATATATGATGAATTAATTGTAGAGTTATGTCTAGAAACTATTTTTTATCTACTCGTATTCATAATTATAAGTTTAATTGTTGGAGGGATTTGTATAAACCTGCTTGCAGCCCGAATTTCGTTCAAAGGAAAGGCGGAAATCAAATTTTCGGGTTGGAAATTTTCGAGGGAAATTTTCGAAAAATGAACTATCGGTCGATATACTGGTGCAGCGTTCTATAAACCAACTGAGCTACCGTCACATGAGCGAGACAGTTGTCGAGCTCTAACCACAAGTTCATGTAAAAATGCTAAAGGCCCTGTCACACTATTGCGTATCGTACTAGCGTATGCCAGCGTATGAAAAATATCACCCATACGCCGGTATACGCTGAGTCGCTGACATACGCTAGGGGTACGTTAGGCATAGGTTATACGTTTCAAGCACGGTCGCATACGGTGGCATACGCTGGCATACGGCGAGGCAGAAAAGATTTTTTAAGTATGCTCAAAAATTTTGTGCGTATCGGACATATATGCTTTATTATATACGATAAGCATATACTCTAGGCACACGCTGAATACGCTAGAGCAGTATAGACGGGTACGCCAAATGTACGGTACTCGTACGCTGGCATTTCAAAGGATTTTTGTGCGGTATGAAAATTATTTCATTAATTTTCATACGGCTTCTCATCAGTGCCGGATTAACCATATGGCAGAAGCGGCATATGCCACGGGCCCCGCGCATTTGGGGGCCCCGCGCTTCTCTCTTCTATTTCTTTTTCTGAATTTTTTGTTCCCTGTTTCAGCGCGGGGCCCAAACTGTGCGCTCGAAAGAGCCCAAGTCCCCCAGAAAACTCGAGGACGCAAAAATCGACCCCAAACGGTTTTCTTTTTGTTCCCTGTTTTAGTGTTTCAGCGCGGGGCCCCAAAGAGCCCAAGGTCCCCAGAAAACGTTATAGGCCCAAACGTTATAGGCCAAAATTTAAAAATAGAGGACCCAAAGTGAGGGGCCCCAAACGATTTTTTTGTTCTCTTTTTTAGCGCGGGGCCCTAAAGAGTCCAAGGCCCCGAAAAGCGAAACACCAAACTAAAAAAACCGCGAGGCCCCAAAGTTAAAATTAAAAAGGCGAGGCTCCAAAAGCAGGCCTGCAAACACAAAATTTTTTATTCCTTCTTTGGGCAAGGGGCTCCAAAAAGCGATCGCAAGGCCAGAAAATCATAGGGTTCAGAAAATTTCAAAATTTGCAGCGAACTGTTACATACTAAAAGATCGTTGAAATTCGTGGAAGACGGCAGAAGCCTTATATGGACGCTATCATGTTTAGCTATTTTTCCCCTGTAAAGTAAAAATAATGTTAATTGTATAAAGTGCGTTGAATTTCAGTTCGATCAAATTGTCTTTTTTTGTAAATACACAGGAAACTTTTCAACGCATGAAATACAAAAGGATATTTTTAAATCTGACTGAATTCAGGGTCTAAAATGCC